CATAGTAGAAAAAATAAAATAATAAGGATACTCGTGGATCTGAAAATAAATGAAAAGAGAGAACTAGAGACTAGTGAATTAGAATGATAACTATCGTGAAAATAAATACTCAGTTTAATATAAATGATAATATCCTGAAGACAAAGGCTAGCCAGGCAGCCGAACCATCAATTATTTTACAAGTTACTTACAAACAAAACGAATAATTTTAGAATCTCGGAAATTCAAGAATCTGAAGTTAGTAGGGATCAGGTGACGGAGTACAGACCACTCATTAATAACTGTTAGAAATAATTCACCAGGAGATATAGCCCATAGACTACAACCTTAGAAAGTATTTAAAATTTAGGCATCGAAATTTCGGAGTAACAGCATATATTTAAATGGTTCAGTAAATAAGGATTAAAAATTTTGTTTCCTAATTGCAAAGCAAATTTAAACTTCAAATGGTGGTTGGAATGTAGTTGTAGTTGTAAGGACTATATAAAGAACATATTGTCTTTTTTGTTTGAAACCAATAGACTAAGGCATTTTTGGAAGAGACTATATGGATGTCGTAAAAATGAGGAGGTTGGTAAGACAACTACCTAAAATATATTATATATCTTACCCTGGTGTTGTATATGAAGAGCATCTTATCGTAGTAACAAACGAAAAGAAGCTTCTGCTCCGGATCCGTTGCCATGCAGGTAATGCTGGCCTCTCGAGTATTTATCGTGCGGACAAGTCTATGGGTCTAAGAAAATGAGGTAGTGATTTATGTAAATATACCGACTGGCATGTACATGACACATTCTAGTAAATAGTCGAAAATGTTACTCCCTAATAATGAGTTTCAGGCTTTTAGAAATAAGGATTGGAAAAATAGTATAATGATATTCATAAAAACTTTACTTTAATTTCTCAACCAGTGGAAAACTACCAATATCAAAAGTGGAGAAAATGCATTTTTGTCAAAAAATAGAAACACACTGAGAAATTATCAAATCAATTGGCAGTAAATGCAGAGTATCATGGCAGTGTGGTATGAAGCAGCAAAGTAATGGAACTACCTGTAGATTAAAGAGCAGCAGAGATCCGTTTTGCCCACCGACAATGAGGCAACATGGCTCTCGTAGCACAATCATATCTATCACGGCAGTATGTACATCACCAAAAGCAGCGAACTCGCCATACTTAAATGTTAACGCAGCTGATAACTCAGCTGGTAACTTCATCGAACTTTTGGGCGTTGGCGAAACAATAGCATCGGAAGAAGACGGAAGCGAAGAGTCACGCATATTTTCCATTGTCTCGTGCAAACTGGCTCTGGCGAATAGACCAAATGACTTAACATCATTAAGAGTAACTGCACTAGATAAGTTCGCTCCCTTCTCACTATCATCTACCCCAGTCGTAGCAGAATAAGGTGGGTTTCCGCTGGATGGCTGTCGACAGGATGCTGAGGCAGGAGGAGAGAGAGAAGAGAACGAAGAGGAGGACGAATTTCTACGCAAGCGAGCTGAGAAGGTATTCAAAGGGCAAGGATCGGGAGTCGCCTCAGGGAGAGAGTGCATACTCAATGATGTAGTAGGCAGTGCCAGTTGCGTAGATGAAACCTTGTTGATTGGGCAGCTGCAGTCTAAATATCGAAAAAAGACTCATAAGACAAACGGGAAACGATAGCTTAGTGATTTTAAAAAAGTTCAGATCTATCGTAGCCCAATTATAACAGTTTTGTCTCATTTCACTTCGGCTTTTTGACTGATGAAACTTACACGATGATAAATTAGTAAAATACTATAGTGACCTAATCTCAGTCATTTCCATTCTGCTTAATTTTGCAGCTATCTCCCAATACTCCATTTACATAAAGATCACCTGGGAATATCTCTCAGTCAATGCTGTCGCAACTTT